CCATGGTTCCCTGATTTCCTCTAATGACCGAGTTTGGTTTGCCCTGAGGATGCTATCCAGCGGCTGTAGAGATGCCATCTCTCCATCAATCGTTGCATGGCTCTCTGTATTCATCACTGCCGTTCGTTGCTGTTAAAACAACGGTCCATTATTGCTGGCAAGGTATGGTTACGAATGTTACGATAGCCCTTCTTGTTAGTTGCAGTGGTACCCTTAACGGTTGCCCTTCGGGATGTCGTCAGCCTATTCATGCCTCCTGCTGTTGTTGATGCCAGAACTGTGCGTCCACTTCTTGTACGATGAAACCCATCAGTGCCTTTGTGTGTGCGATCACATGAAAACAAACAGAAAATATATGGCAGTAAAAATCTTATATTACAATATATATAAAAAAACTTTATATTGTGATACCCATCTGACTCATTATACTAAATAAAATTAAACCGATTAACGTACCGCGTGACTATTTCTATTATTATTTTGAAACTACCTTATTGTATTTATTATGCCGGTATCGAGGTGACCGCTTTTATTTCACTCGAATATTGACATTGACCGTTACATGTCATTGTCACTGACCCCAGTATGCATCACTCGGTTAAACTGTTAACCTCTTTCATTAACCCATCGATAATCCTAATACTCATTTTTTTTCTCATTATATTTTTTTCCCTTCAATTTTTCCATAATAAAATCTTCCAGATAACGTATTGAAATTTGTCTTACTTAAAAAATGCCGCTTCCACCTATCATTATTTTTTCCTATCGTTGAACTTGAACCTTATGTATGTGTGTTATGATATCTGATATCATAACAATCGCGAACTCGAAACTCGGATATTATTTATAAGCAAAACTGTTTCGGATGGTGATTCAAACTAGATAAACATATGACAACCCATTTCTTATTTCTTGTTTCCCTACTAATTATTATTATTATTAATTTTTTTTTCACGAACTGAATTTTGGTTTTTCAAATATGGAAAACATTCACCATTCAATTTGTTTCCCAATTTGGATTCGCTGAAATACTTCTGTTTCATAAGCGAATGTCATTTAATCGGAATGACTGCCTTCCAAGAAATACCTTGATTTGTATTCCCAGATTTTGACTTCCCAATATGTTAGCTATTCTGAATATTTTGGTATATTAAATACCTACACTTATAGTGTGAGTAAAATTGAATAATAACAAAGAGTGTATTAATTGGTGGCCTCATTTCGATTTTGTTAACAATAACAAATTCGTTCGAATGCAAATATCTATTAGAAATATCAACTAACCCAAGACTGTAAATTTATAATATATGAATCGCGAGTTTCTGCCATTAGCTTGATGAAACAGTGAAGTAGGCGTTTTATTTTTCCGGAGGGGAAATAATACTTGCCTAGAATTTCTTATCTCTCGTTCCATGATATTGTCAAATTGTCATCTCGTCATCTCGGTCGTTCTGTTGTTAGCACCAGTAAGCTTCCTGGTTTTGCTTATCGTTCTTCATAACAATAGGTTCTGCTGAGTTTCGGTTCATGATGGCTTCTTTTTAGAACTTCTTCTTTCTTCATGCATTTTTTGTCCTTAAACATACTCAACAAAAAAAACGATTAATACATGTTCGATTACTAAATGGACAACGATTTCCTCTGGAAATAAGACAATTACTTTTGGAAACATGCTCATCTTGCGTTAATTACTATCGATATCGGCTCCCTATTTTTTACCAATGTGATTCTGATTCTCTGATACCCATTTTCTTCACAATATGTACTTCCTTTGGTACCAAAATAATATTCACTTTGCGTGCTATCTTCATATGTGCATCTGTGTCAAATCTGCTTCAGAGTCCATCCTCCCTGCTCTAATTATTGAAACGTTTGTCTAATATCCTAATTTTTCGATATAGCTCAAATATCCCTACAATGTAGAACATTTTCCGGGAGTTCGCGCTCGAGTTCGCGTGATGAAACCCTTGAGCTCACTTGACGTTTGGTTGACCAACCTTTGCACATCATGGCACACCTTCTATCGTACAAACTATCCATGTACCTCAAAAACTTCAATACTTCATAAATTTACTATAACATCTATAACTTCATAATATCACATAAAACTCTCTTTTTCTCGCTATACAATTCGACTACTCCGGACCATTTCCTGAAACAACTACTCCCCTGGCTATTTGCCTCGACAGGTATTGAATGATACAGGGTGATGGTGCGGTATCCACAGTGACTCTTGCACTGATCAAGTCGTCAGCGAAAATATCTTTTGACTCATTTGGTCAACAACTTAATAACCTCTCTGGGTACAATAAAACACTCACTTTTATATCATCATCTAGCTAGTGCCCGTTTTGGGTCCTATCATAGCACAGTATCCCAATATACTGCATATACATTGTCATCAGCGACAATCAAAAACCTTTTTCATATTATTTGCCAGCCGATACTTCAATAATTTGAGATTTTCATCACGAAATTTATCCTGAGCATGTTTCCTAATGAAAAAGATACTAAAATCACTCAAAACTGTTCAAGTTATCTAAACAATACGAAAGTACGATAAAAATTAAATTTCTTCGTTATCTGATTCTTGATTTTCCTCCTAGTCAATTATTTCAGACATATCAATTTCGGTTACTTCTGGGGTCCACGGGTCATTATACGGTGAAATTCTACTTATATGTTATGATTATTTAAATTTCACTATCTATATGTATATACTCCTCCATTTTTTTCGAATATTCAATACTAATATGAATTTAAAATATCAATATATCTAGTACTTCTTTTGAACTCTATATTTGTCAAATAATACTCCAAAATCTTCAAATCGATGATTTTTCTCGATAGACATCAATTCCTATTGTTCCTTATCAAATCTATCATTATTAATTTATACCTATTAGTCTTCAAGTATAATGATTATCTCAAAAATGGTCATTGATTGATTGATTGATTGATTGAAAACTCAATTATTATCCAAACAAACATTTAAAAACCCTAAAAGTAAATGATTATATAAAACATTAAGTGAGAAAAAATGTGTGCATCCTCCTACAGCATTATAATTCTTGTTCATTCTCCAAGGATCGTTAATACTAATATTTTGCAAAAATTTTGAAACATAAAGCTTGGCCTGCGTTAAAAATTCCGAGAAAAAATAGATTACCTATACCCTACCGTTGATGAATTCCGTCATAAGTGATTACATTCTGCATTGGGTAATGAAAAAATCGTGGAAAAACTATTTAGGGACATCCTTTATTTTAAGTATCATCAGCAACAAATATTCCAGGATCCCCTCAAAGTTCCAGTTGCCTATTCCGCGACACTGGATGCTACACTTGTGAATTGTGTACCTCATATTTCTTCATATGGTCACTTTCACATATCTCGATCAACATAACAAAAACTCAATAATCAATGAAAATTCTCAATTAACTTCTATAATCATCATAAATTCTCAGCACTCATCAATAATCTCTTTTTCCACGCACAAGATCAAAATTACTCCTCTAAACAACATGTAAGTCATCTTATGACATTTGAATTCTCGAAATATAGCAAATCTTTATCAAAATAATAGTTTCTCTATGTTTTTCAATAGGCCATAAACAACTAAACACAAATTGATATTTTTTACTCAGTTTTTTGTATGGGTACAGATGGTTTTAGCATGCCTATCTGTGTGCACTACCAGGAACGCCCCCGTTGAAAATCAAACCGAGGCAGTCCAGTTTTAGCATGCTGGACCGTTCGCAAATCCTGGCCAGATGCCCCATATAAAAACACATTTTCACATTCAATCCTCAAAATAATAAAAACTGTCTTACTTTATATTTATAATTTGATAAAAATAATACGCTTTGAGAAACAAAAGAACATGAAATTTGAAAAAGTGAGGTTGGTTATGAAGAACCAACCTCGGGAACGAGCCATTGGCGCCTCCACCATGTCACAAACTGTAGGCGGGGGTTGCCTAAGTTGTGTTCTAGATCCATTAGAGAATGAACTTTGAAAGTGATAATAATAAAGAATACTCCAAAAGGTTTTCAACTAAACATATACACACATTTATTCTTGGCATAAATGAATAACAATTAATAAAACCTTAACTTACCCTATATGTACAAAATTAACTGGTATTTCTGGGAGCCTGAGGAAGGGCAACTTCTGTTCTGCCCGAACTCCGAAGGTTCGGGCACAGTGGCAACTTTACAAACTTACAATTGATAGAACTCAAACTTTCCGGACTCGTACTCAAAAACAGGACTAGAACTAGAACTGGCAGTCCAACTCGCAGTCGAACCGGTAGTCGAACTGTCGAACCCGCTTCCTTACGTCTTTTAAATAGTTGTCTTTATTTTCGGAAACGTGACAGTAAGGAAATCAGGTCGATAGTCCAGGTTCGTTGAAGTCAATGTCACGCCTGTGTTTATGTTCAACTATGGAAAAAAGAGTTCGTTCACGATTCGAAAATTTTGGAATTAATAAACAAAGACGCGACCGTTCAATGACTTCGAACCTTGTATGAATTTGAATGAATGAATGAAAAATAACCCTATTTGTGACAATATACTATTCTAGAGCTAGTAGTGGCATCTCAAAATTAGAGAAATGTCACTCTATTGATATCAACTTTCCACCTGGTGGAATTCATATCGCAAATTGAATGATTGAAAGTGAGAAGCAATTGCTATAACAAGCGCTGTTATAGATTATAGAGGTGATATCAAATTAGGAACAGTAGAAACCAAAACTATATATACCTACCTCGTATATCCTACTATCCTCGAAAATCCAATCGAGCTGGTTTTTTATGTGTTCTCAATATTTTGTTCACAAATACAAATGTCTATCCCGACTCGCCATACTTGAGTTTGAATTGAAAGCAATCCTTTCGAAAGTTAGGAATGTCTACGAAATATGTATGAGTGTGAAGAAAATTGTTGAAGTGACATTCATGTTCATTATACAATGATATTATTTCAATTTTCCAGCTGCATCAACATCGAAAATTGAAACAAACCCCAATTTGGAGATAATTGGTGGCCATGACGCCAACATCATCGACTACCCCTGGCAAATATCATTCCAGCATAGACTATATCATTTCTGCGGTGGATTTCTGATTTCCGACACATGGGTGGTCACAGCTGCACACTGTATATTCGAAGGATACAGCGATACCGAAAATCTCAACATTCGTGTAGGATCATCAGAATGGAGCGCTGAGGGAAAACTCCATTATGTGAAGAGATACATCACGCATCCTCAGTACAATATCACCACTATGGACAACGATATCGCTCTACTTGAACTTGCTGTTCCCGTTGATTTCAACGAATCCGTCAGACCAGCCAGACTACCCGTAGCCGGACAAGAGATCCCTGATAATGCCCAACTCACTATCACAGGATGGGGAGCCTCCTATGTTGGAGGACATAATGAATATACTCTCCAAGCAGTCACCATTCCTACCGTCAATATAAATGTATGTCAAAGTGCTATAACAAATGATACAATCACCAACAACATGTTCTGTGCTGGCTTGATCGGAGTTGGCGGCAAAGACTCCTGTCAGGGTGATTCTGGAGGTCCAGCTGTGATTGACGGTCAAGTTGTTGGTATTGTCTCATGGGGATATTCTTGTGCTGATCCTGAATATCCAGGTATATATGCTAAAGTTTCCGCCTTCAGGGACTGGATATCTGAAGAAACTGAAATTTAAATACATTGATCATTATTGAAATAGAAATTGTTGAAGTAAGTGTCCGCTATTTTATTGAACATCATACTATGACAACAGCCTACAGAATGGATCGTAATTGAATATCTGATGTCTCCACATTCACTGGCATTTGTTCTATTCATTTTAATATCTATTGAAACCAAATGAATTCGTGATAAAGGTTTTTCATTGTTTCAGCAATACAGACATATTGAAATCAAGTTGACATTAATTTCGAATATATCTCGGGAGTCTATTTTCTCAACAAATCATGGGATACCAGATTCGAACACGATAACCTAGGCAACTACGCATTCAATGTTCGTGTATAGTTGGTTGCCTACCCAGCAAGAATCCAAATTAACATTGTGTTGGAAAAAATAATCATCACATTAGCGCAAAGTGAACATTCTATTTCCTTCAATATTCTTTTGGATTCATATGATATGATTCCGTTTTGGTTTCGTCTATTTTCATTCAAGAAGCACATAAGGCACTGGAAAATCACTATTGGTATTCGTTGGGTACGTGTTTCAAGCGATGAATGTGACTGAATTGGATTTTCCTAAAAATAAATGAAGGAAATATATAAGGATCGTACCGTTAATTGATGAATAAGGAATGCACTACTCACCTTTCTTCCATACCTTTTCAGAGACTGGTGAAGAAACTCACTTAGCCATGATTTTGATGAAATATCTTCTGGAGTTATCCAATGTATTTTCCACTATGGTTTTGGTGTTTTCAAGTCCAAATCATTATCGTCCAGGAATCATCTCATCAGTCTTATTGTGTCAAACTGTCGAAGTAGTCAACGAAGTGAAAGATGACTCCACCTAGAGTCACTGGATGGTATTAATCAACTAAGTTAGTTATAGTTATTAGTCAACTAGATAGATAGATAGATTGTTTATTGCTTTCAAAAACATTACAGTCCTATAGCAAGGATTCGGTTATTTCTGATAAACACTCTACATGGAAATGTGTACAATGCGAATTGTAATAATTTTCACTATACATATATGCAAATATAAACAGTTTTGATCAATAACAAAAATACGAACTGGAAGAAAGAATAGGGAAATTAGGCAAAGTTGATGATATCACGAAGTCCTACTCGTTTCTTGAAAATGGTCTGGTTTTTAGTATATTCCATATATAGTTGGCGATATTTTTGCATTTAAGTGGAGTAAGGTTGTCGATGAAGTCAATCAACGAGTGACTATTCGGGAGATGAACACTGTTTGGTATTCTGAAACTATTGTAAATCGGACAATCGAAGAAAATATGCTGCAACGTTTCTACAGAATTCAAATTACAAATTGAACATATCTCATTGGGATTTATCTTATTTGAGCTTCCATTATAGGTGAATTTGATGAAATATTTATTACATATTCTTAACTGCGATAGTGTGCGACTGATCTGAATGGGCAAATGGAAATGTAGATAGTTAGCCTCAGCTTTTGTGACAGTTAACTGTTTATAAAATATAGTTATTAGTCAACTAACTTAGTTAACTAATACCATCCAGTGACTCTCACTCCACCCCATTGTGTTGATTCTTGGAAATCTTTTTCATGAAAGCTCAAAGATAGGGTCACAGAATGTTGAACAATACTTATTTAGAGAAAAGTATAACTTTATTTCAAACAAGAATGACGTTGAAAGAAATTGTATTTAGTTTAATCTATATGCATACAACATGTTCATTATTCTGAAATTTGTATGTCATCGAGTGAGCAATAACTGTTATCAACGAATAACGTTAAAACACGAAACCCAACATCAAAGTACAAACTCATCAACTAACGTCAAAATTGAACTCTGACATCAGCCAACTCGACAATTACGAAGATTTGGGATATCAAACCAAAAGTTCACCTACAGACTGCTTTATTTCATTGTTATTTCGAAGAATGCGTCAGAAGAGTCAAAATTTGATCATGCTCTAGCTGAACGGAATTAGGAAAATTCTAGTGTTCTTATTATCTGTTACGTCTGACATTCAACATGTTGATTTGTGGCAACGTTATTCTTGTTCGAAACAAAGTTATGATTTTTTCCTCATGATGATGTGATAACTATTGATACATTTCCATACTGTTTTCGACACTTGTTCTTGACCATCATTTGACTCGTATCACAACTTACCTCATATAGAAGGTGTAATTTGATTGATGGCTGCAAACAGAGGATATGGTTCTTCAGCTCACTTTCATATACCCTAAACCTCTCAACCTTCGCGCTATAGGGTGTTAAAATCTTTAGAAAAAAATCGTTCTTTTGAAATAACCTCAATACTGTTTTAGATATTTTGGAATGTTGGAATTTGACATGCAACTACTTAGCACCAATAGAAGTTTCTTGATGCAGGAGATTTTTTGATAATTCTACCAGAGGCATCCGTTTCGGATGTATCTTGGAAATTTTGAAATCAAAAATGTTGTACGCCCCTGATTTTATTTAAAAAAAAAACTCTTTTAATATCCTCATTTATTTTGCGACAATTCAACCTCCTGAGCTTTTTCCGTCTTTGGGTATATGGCTTGTTCATTTTGAATAAATATTCATTATGCTTCGTGAAATGATCTAGCAAAATATAACACCATTCTGAATGCCTTCAAATACTTTCGGATTCCATTATCAACTCCAATAATTGTGTAGCAGTATAGCAATACCACTCGTCCTGACGGACTCCTAAGGTTGCTCGGCAACACAATAACATCAGCAACAAGCGACAGATTATTATTTCAAATAATTAGAACATCGTGATATAATTGTTGATGATTGGCGAACAATACAATTCGGATAATTAGATTGTGAAAACAGAAAACGAAAGTTGCGAAGAAACATCCTAATACGTATTTCGACGAAAAAAAAAAACAGGAATCAAGCTGAAAATCTCTACTGATGACCAGATTTTCAAAAATTATTGAATTGAGAATTCGGATGTATATTTCCTTTATAAAAGTTCATTATACAAATACAAGTTAAGAGTCTTCAGTCTTTTTTCGAGTAAAAAACATTCTTTCAACGTATTCCATTAAATGCTTCCTGTTTGAGCTACAGGGTGTAGGAAGAACGAGAAAAATCAGAATTAGACATTTTTCCACAAAAAATGGAAAAGAAATCGAAAATTGGTCAAGTTATCCTAGGTGAGTTAACGTAACTTATAACATGAATTTCCTGCAAAACAAACCTGGTAAGATAGTAATAATAATTCCAGGATAAAATGAAACTCAGGGGGTGGAAGAACGATTACTTTATTGTACAGCGATGGGTAGTGTTTCACTTCAGGTGGTTGCTTGAATACAGTGTATTTTTGTCAAGTGTGTTGTGCCCTGCATACACAGAATGGTAGTCATCAAATCTTTACCAATAACGCCTTACCTTTCACAATGTATGGAGATATATACCCATCAAGTTCCCTTAGGGTATCGATACCATAAGTTCACAGGAATGCAAACTAATTGAACTATAGATAACTCAATCACTAATGGACCAATAACATGCTAAAGCTCAGGCTATGGTTAACTATCTCACAGAAACCTTAAAAACGTATTGCAGAGGCTCCAGCAATTTGGTTACTAGCTATTATCATAAAGGAAAAGATAACGCTCACTTGAGAAGCTGGATGTTACTTTGGCTGTATTGGGACCCAGCAATACATCCAGCATTCCAGGTAGGTGCTATATGGGCCGGACCAGGCAGGAATGTTCTTTTCTAAGATGCGCAATAGTCTCCAGATCTACAGTTTTCATGCAGTGGGACAGGAAAGCAAAGCAGTTAGCAGCAAATGAGCATGAGTGAAGCCAAGCTGGTTAAACAGGCTCTATGAACTGGTCGAGTCCAAGTAAACTCGAAATCTATGTTGGCCCTACAAATTACAATACCATCATATATATTCTATCATTGAACCCCAAGGACTATCGCGAGTTGAGCTGTAAATGGCTGTAAATTGATCAGACATGAGCATACCTCGATTTCAGGTGGCCAAGAGTAGCAACTACGGTGAGTTGAAATAATGGAATCTGATAATCAATCTTATTTAGCAGAAGTCTTCATCCAACATAGTTGAGTAGTCAGTGGACCATCCTTTGACTACTTTGACTTCGTCAAATAATTCGATTACACGAGAAAAATCCGCAAAATGCGAAAGCACGTTTTCTATACCTGCACAGGTTATATCAAAATCTCACGCCTCATTCGGTCAGATGTCAATATCTCCCCAAAATCCCGCCAAAATGTCAAGGTACACACTTGGCTCCATTTGTGTTTAGGTTAAGAATTTGGCTCTATGGGAGCCAGAAAAAGAAGATGTATCCAATCAAACTGCTCATTTTAACCTCCACAGAATAGCTAGCTGACCGAACTATTATTGTTTATAACTCCATGCCAGGTGGGTTTTATAGTATTGCAATATTATCCAATAGATAAATATCTTTAACTATTTTGCAGGTGAGACCAAACGATTTCAGGGAACTCGAACCAAGGAAAGGCCTGACTATACTATAAACTGAGTGAGTATTTCTTTATGAACCAACTATCTGGTTCTGATATAGCTACCTACTTGATCTTTTCTGAATTTCTGTTTCAGGCATCACCTACCCCGGCCGCAGGAATGGGATATTGAGCTACCAAGTGTGATGCATATCAATAAATACTTTGTGGCCAGCTGATTTGTAACCGATTCACCCTCTAATTCCGTGCTTGGGTTGCTTCACTGAGGATATTGCAAAATGAAACCGTAACAACACCCCCCTTACCCCATCAAAGTTTTTTTTTTCTTCTCAAAAAAAAAAACTTTCATACCGAAAGGTTTCCTGATACCTCTAGTACAACGAAAAGAAAACAAAAAAAAAACTATCATACCGAAAGGTTTCCTGATACCTCTAGTACAACGAAAAGAAAACAACAAAAATACTATCATACCGAAAGGTTTCCTGATACCTCTAGTACAAGCAAAAAGAAAACAACAAAAAAAAACCAGAAGGAATGTAGTTCCAAATAAACATTCAGCTTGGGATTATTCATCCACCTCTGA